TATATATATATATATATATATAAATCGTTCATCTTCCTACACTTAGTAGCCCCAACACTCTGTGGCGCTGTCACACTCAATGTATATCGCTCGCGTCATTGACCCATTTTATAACAGTAATATAAAATGTTTTCTTAATTACTATATATTATTATCAATATATTTGTTTGAATCTATTGATGTTTAGATAGAGGGGTTTAATTGAATTAATTAGTAGCATATTTCTGGGGGGCTGAAATAAATGAATGAGACACAAGTGGATGGAGACACGAGTGGATGGAGACACGAGTCTTGTGGAACGGATTCAACTCCGAATTCCACTGTATTATGAAAATGTGGAGTGGCCATAAAATACAAAACCCGTCCCTGTGTCTGAATTTCTGCGTTGTTTTTGTCATTACTATATCCTGTCAGCAGATGGCGTGCGTTCCCTCATTTTATCAGTGTAGAGGTACAAAGTTGAATTCCAGCCTTACTCTAACAGGTAAAAATCTTAAATCATTCATATCGTTATAAACAAAACCACAGGTCAAAATGATGAACTCTCCTGATGAACTGCTCCAAAACTGCAGCGTTTTATTTTCACTGATTTCTGAAGTTTGATTTTTCTTTTCTTTTTTTTTATTTGTTGCTGCTGATCTACCGCTCCACTTGTATCACTGGATGTAGCCCAGTGGTGCCCAATCAGAAGCAACCAATGTGTCCAGTGTCTTTACCTTCACTCTGTGGACCATATATTGTCTTCAAGACCTCTGACCTAGGTAAAATTTAACCAGCAGCTCCTGTTAAATATTTACAACTATATCCACTCTGTCGCTGCCTGTTCACAGACCCTAACAGTAAAATTGTGAGGTTTTCCAAGAAACATTAAGTATATATATATGTATATGTATATGTATATATACATACATGTGTTTGAATTTGTAGTGAAAAACCTTTGTTTTAGTTCTAGCTGTCCAAGTTTTATTTTTTAATTCAATAAAACAACTAACAAAAAATACTTAATAAAACAACAAATGTTTATTGTGTACTAAAGTTTGTTATGTTCTGTCCATGGCCATGAACAGGATTATGATGAGAGCCACAAGCCAAAAATGTTGGTCAAATAAAATATATATAATAATAAAATTGTTCTCAAACTAGTGGCTGGAGACATTTGGTTCTAAGTTCTAAGACAAATCCAAAAAATCTTTGTTTATGGAATTAAAAGATCTGTTTCTCTTTGTTTCTTCCATTTAACTCCTTCAGATAATTCCTTTTTTTTTTTTTTGTAGAAATCTGCTGGATGTCTACCAATTCAGAACCTGCTTCTTTGCCTAAGAAAAGGTTCCATGAAGATGGATCTAACCCTGCTGCAGGGCTACAACAACTTCACCTGTTTATCATTGAAATTAGGATATAAACTGTCATGTAGAATTATTTTTCTTTCTTGTTGGAATGAGGTTATGCTCATTTTGAAGATAAAATGTCACATGTACAGTGGCCGTTGTCGTCATTATCATCTTCCTTTTCTGTGCACTGACATCTGACTTCAATCAAGATCCAATTTCTGTGTGACATGAGACGTTTTTACCGAATAACGCTTCAAGTGCTTGTTCAGAAGCAACTTAGTTGTTGGTTAAACGCCGTGACCTGCCGTGTATTTCACGGCCTCGCCTTGAGTGGCGTCCTGACTGAATAAATCCACATCTTAATAACGTCATTATAGCTACAGAAACCATCAATGTTATGTAGAAAACGAGTCGTCACATCATAAAAAACACATGTAGCCAAAATTATACCGTAACCAAAGCAACAGACCCACGTGGTACAATTTAAAAAAACAGCGTCAAAAAGCAATCATAACATAATACATACTTGAAATATTATTAAAAGACAAAATGCATTTCACTTACCAAATTATTTGTACATCGAAACCTTCCTCCTTTCTTCTCGTTAGAAGAGTTCAATTACTCCGTTGTACAGATTATCGGTAAGTTCCGGTTCTATCGCGTCCTCTTCTTCCTCCATCCATGCTAATGCAAAGAGTGCAGCCCCCCTCTGTCCGGGTTATGACTGACAGTTGAATTAGCTCCAGGGCTGAGAATATTCGCTCGACGGAAGCTGTGGACACGGAGAAAACTTCATTTTCGTCAAGTCGTTAGCGCAGTTCACTAGAAGCGACTCTTTCCGTTCTTTGACCGTCCGATCAAGTCGATTAAATCGCTGACATAACTGTGGAACTCGTCTGATCGGTTAAAGAAGTTTAATTTACCCGCCAAGCGCCTGCACTGCCGATGAAGGCCCTAAAGCAGATTTACCCGACCCTGGCAACAGATGGTGGCTGAAATATGATTGGATTAAAAAACTCGAGTATAAATATACGCGACGGGAAGCGGGGCAGTCCATAAAAAGCTAAAAAATGATCAGGACAGACTATTTGGCAATATTTTGTAACTATTCATGATAAATACTGACAAACAAACGAGTGTTTCTGGTACTGTTTAGGCCTTGACTGTCATTTAACATGGCGTTGGTTTGTGCATTAAAAGATAAACACGAATCTGTCAACTGACTGCCTTCAGTGAAATTCAGACTTTCTGTCAGACAATCAGCAACTAAACAGCAGAGGCCGCTCAGCAGTTGGTGAGGCGTCACTCACAACTATAATGGTTGGAGTTTAATAACAAAGGCATTTCCTGCTTTTTGCTGCCAAAACGACAGAGAGAAAAACATAAATTATTTTAAATGTTGCAAATCTTAATGTAGTAAAAAAAAATCACAACATTGGGGGACCTTAGAATTCCTGTTCTCTCAGTACACGTGTTGTGCAAAGATGCAATGCAATTTTTGTACCATTTTTTTCTGACAGATATGCACTGAGTTGCTCAATGTTTCCTGTCTCCAGCAGAGTTGATCTGAAAATGAGCAACCTGTCTTTCCTTTGTTGCTCTTGCCACCACCCATACCGTCACCTAGCAGCTCACCTGGGAGCTCAGCAGTGAAAGTGTTTGCAGGTGGCCTAGATATAATCCTTTAGTTCTGAAAAATGCAAATCAATTATCAGCAGCAGCAGAGTGAACTCGTACTGATGATCTCTGTTACACCCAGAGCTCAGCGTTCATCGGTACAGCAGACCTCAAAGTATAATGTTGGTAAAAGTTTCTTGGTTTGTTGTTGTGGTTGAGGCCCAGAGAAGAAAGGCTTCAGTTCCTCTGGTAATCTGGATAAGGAAAATAAAGGGTGAAGAAGCGTTCTCACGTGTAGCAATTATTTGACCTCTAATGCTGAGTGTGGTTCACTGTGGTTTCAGCACCTCAGCTAATCACACAGGCAAATGTCAAGAGTATAACATTTGATTTTTTTTTTTTTTTAAAGGTGTAAGGTGCAAAATCCGGAGGTTCTGAGTCAGCGGTGCAGGAAGGAGGAGGCTGCTATAACCAGGAAGAGGAAGCTGATATACTGTACACCTGTCAATCAACCATTGTAAGTCACTCTCCTTTCTCTGGATAGAGTCCAGTCACAATAAGGCAGAGCATGAGGGTGTGTGGGTGATAAAACAGGACAGACAGCTGAGTTGACAGATTCAAGACACAGAACGAAGCAGGCTCATAAATAAGTCCATTTATTTTGCTCTCTTTCAAGGACTTCACACTAATAACAAATGGAATAGTTAAATACTGTACACAGCATACTGTACTCTCACAGTACATGAGTTGAGTTGTCTGAGTAAAAAACAAAAAAGAAAAATCAAAATTGATGATTTTTATTAGTTTTCGTAAGACATCTGAACACCTTTAATACCTTTAAGATTAAATAGCATCAGTGTGTGATGTAAACTTCTTTCCAACATTTTTGTGTGGCCTCGGTTCTCGTGAGCCAAAGGGAGAGAGAGAGAGAGAGAGAGAGAATATACTTCAACAACCGTTTGACCTCAGCAGTTAGCTTTCCCCAGAACCGATCGCAGTGTTCCATACAGAGCGTTTCTTCACTTCATACGCTACATTCACTACATCATCCTGAACTTTCTTGAAGAATCTACAACTATAAAGTTCATATACTCTCTGAGCTGCCAGCAGCCAGAGTCACACAGGCAACACCCACTGCAATCATGTAAGGTAGGAATGCATGTGCAGAACAGGAAAGTCTGTGTCAGGCAGGTAAACCCGGCACCGTCTTTCTACTGCGTCTGTATGAACAGCTTAGCCTCACATCTGTGTGGGCCGTCATCTGCCTGCTCCAAACTCAAGCAGGAGTTTTGGTTTTTGAATTGAAAAAAAAAAAGAAGTTTAAAGCCTTGTTTTATGTCACACAGGGAGTTTAGCAGAAGTATAGAATCAATAAAAGGGAGGTAGTACTTCAGGCAATGACTCACAGCTTGACCAGAACTATACTTCAAATGACTGACAGGTTTAGAGCAAACACCGGCCTGTGTTCAACAGACAGAGTTCTTGTGCAAAGGACCTGATCGCTGAGTGAAGCCATCAAACGTCTGCACTCTTTTCTCATGGGCTGAGGACGCTAGCTGCAGAAACGCACAGCACAGTAACAAATGGATCGATAATCTGTCGACGTCCCGCGTGAAAACACCACCAGAACACAACACACTTTCTTCAGCCGTGCACAAACACGTCCACGTACGTACAACCTGATCAGCGGACGGCCGGCCGGCCTACACACACACACACACACACAGACACACACACTCTCTCTCTGGGGACAACATGCTACGTGTCAGACAGATGTACACAGACACAGCGCTCTGGCTTAGACATGGGAACAGCACTGTTTAAAAATCCAATGGCCGTTTGACTTCATATATGAACAGATCTTTGTTTACATTACTGACCTTCTGCCCCCCACCCCCCACCCCCCGCACTCCAATGAGAAAGCTGTGGTGTATCCCACCAAACATCCTCTACCTCACAGACACAAAATACTGAACATAGGGTTCAAGGCCAGCTTGATCCGTCGGACTTTACCGTTAACATCATTAACCAAAAATAAAACGTCAGAACAATTAGAAAAGGCACTAAATAACAATTGTATCAAAAATAAGCTCTACAGTGTTGAAATTTTGCCCTCACCCTATAGTTAGAGACACCGTCCTCATGTCCAGTATTCCAACTGTGAAGGCGATTCCAACATCACCAGTAACCAAATACAGTGCTCACATACCCTGTGCGATCAGAATACATTTGGGAGTAAGAACAAAAAGACCAAAAACAGGAAAAGAACCGTCCACGTTCACTGTGATGTCAAGTGCTTCTGAGTCCAGTGTGTATTTTAGTCAAATCATTTCAGACTAAATCCACTTTCCGTCTGGTGTGATTGTCCCAGTCTGGTACGTTTTTGGTGTCCATGAGATAGTAGTGTGTGTTGCTGACCTGCTGGCCATCCTCCATGACAGGAACGATGCAGGGGGAGCAGTCACTGTTCTGTCTGTGCAAAGCTCGACACGTCACATAATTAGGATCTGGTGCAAAGCTCTGCGTCGGGGGCATCACCCCGTTAACGTATGTTGGGAGGCTCTTAGGACTGGGGGTACGAGAGCTGCCATTGGACAAAGGTTCCCTCGGCGGGACCTTGGGTGGTTTGTCCTCATCGCTGTAGGGCCCAGACGAGACCTCTGCTGACCAGCGACGGTAGTCTCCGGTCCTTACTCGAGGAGGTATAGGGGGGGGCACTTCAGGTTTGTCCATACTGTGAGTGTGACGTTTGGCACAGGTGAGGCGCAGCAGCGAGGGCTTGTTGAAGGATCCAGCTGGGCCAGAGTGGGAGCGCCGCAGTCTCCTCTGAGCCTTGTCCTGTTGTCTCTGACACACCACTGGCTCTGGCCTCTCCCTTCGCTGCTGCTGCTGCTGCTGCTGCTGCTGCTGCTCGTACTGTTCCCGTTCATCCAGTGAAGCGTGCGTCTGATGTTGCAGATGGATCTGTTCCCGACTTTCTGACCCTAATGGACCATCATAGTAAGCGTAGTTTATCCATCCACAGTCCCTCAAGCTCCTTCTGCTAGGTCCATATCGGAAAAAGGATGATTTGGGACAAGGGTCGGGCACCAGACATGAGCTTTCATCCGAACTCATGGAAAACTCCACCTCAATGTCCACAGTTTGTTCAGGAGACAGGTTTTTGTGTGGAGGGATGGGAGGCAGAGGCTTGGAGCCCCTGGCCGGGGTCTGCGTGGGAACGCTGCTGCACTCGTGCACCGACAGCTTCTTGAATGAGGGCACCACCCTGTCGTCCTCAGCGGGAGTCGGGGAGGAGGCTTCAGTGGAGAGATGGGAAGGTTTTGGAGGTAATTTGTGTGTGGGGGGGCTGTGTTTATGTCCTGTCAGAGAAAACACAACATTTTGATTGCATTCATTGTGAAACATTTAGGACTGGAAATCATGTGGACGACAAACAGGAACTTACTGTCGTAACTTAGAGATGGTGGAGGTGGAGCCTGATGGTGGACTGGAGACCTGTGGTCGGTGTGTGAACTGTCCATCGTGAAGTAAAAGCTGTTGAGGACGACGGTTCATCATCAAACACATTCGCTGCTTCAAATGTTGTGAAAGGCTAATGTAAAAACACTCACTTGTTCAGCTCAGGGCGGGGGCTCCAGGAGGATTTGGATCCAGCCATGCTGTGGCAGTAGCTGCCCCGCAGGAAGGGGTTTTCTATGGGAAAAGAGATCTCCTGGGCAGTCAGGCCCACTGTGGACATGCTCCAGGTACACTCGGGTCGCATCAAAACCAGGAAACACTCAGATCACCCGGCCAGCTGCCCTCACTTCTGGTCACCTAGTACAAACATAAGCCATTAGTACAAGCCCACTTCATTTGGTGTAGAAATGGAGGCTTCAGAACCACACACACACACACACACACACACACACTCCTCAGTCTGTCTCTAGGATACTTGTGTTTGAGTACACTCCCAGCGTGATGTACAACGAAACCTGACAAAGATCTGGTTTCACTTCAAATATTCTACTGATTTGGATTTTACCAGCAAAAAAAACCCAGTTCATTTACTAAGTGTAAAACAGGTTGGATAAAAGAATGGAAATATTTTCACCTTCTGTCTTGACTGAATGGACAGTTGGTCAGGGACCAGAGCAACGTTGTACTTCAGCTCTTACTTCAATGTGTTGTTGGTTCATATGTTTATAAAAAAACAGTGTAGAGAAGATGACTGTAAAATGTCCAACGGTCCACTGGACAATAACCACTGGACAACAATCACTGGACAACAATCACTGGACAA